TTGTACAACGATGTGCATACACTTAGCACTACTGAACTTACACATGATTAAGATGGTAGATGTTATTAATTTTTTGCCATAATTAAGCTTTTTGCAATTAAAGACAAAAGATTAGCCCAACTCTGTCCTTTTATAGAGGAGAAAACTGAGATCGTAAGAATTTATAGACACTCCTGGTGAACTCATGTGGATTCTAGTTACTAAGATTTTTCTCAAGTGCTCACCAATGAGTTACTGTCCCTATCTTATTGTGGTTAAAACATTTGCTGAAGAGAAAAAAAAATGTTAACCACTATATATGGCCAATCATAGTCTTTTTAAGAATTAATTTGAAAATATATAAGGCAATAGGTGATCTACTTAGTATTTTCATCATTAAATCAAGAGACCACCTAATGGTGGACCCAGCCTGCCAACTAAGGGCCTAGTTACCCCCTTTGCTCCTATGACTTCCAGGCATGTGCTTAAATATCACTGGTGTGGGCTCCTATCTGCAACAGACCCACTTATTTTGTAGTTTTCAACTAATAAATGGTAGCAATTCCTGTTTTTTTCTATGATTTTTATTTCTTTTCAGACAAGATTATAATTTAACTTGTTTATTTTATTTTACTTTATTTGGAATCGTAAGGTTCTGTAAGACTTCTTCCCACCTTTGCCGAAATTATTTAAGATCTAAGAAATTTTTTGTTTTAACTCAAAGTAATATCCCAGGTGATGTTTCACTTTATAAAAGTACCTCTTGAATAAGAAGTCATGTTTACCTTGTTTTAAGCCTCAGGATAAGAAAGGAGTATTTTCTCCATTATATTTAATTACTAATCAAAGTATTGAATATCTTTGTAAAAATAAAAATAAGAATGTCAGATGTGAACTCTGATACCAAATTGTTGATTTTTAAAAGGAAATTAATCATGTGATCCAGACTAAATAGTTGGTTTCAAAAATCTCAAGTATTTAACTTGATGTAACTAATATGTGCATTTAACTTTTAAACAGTTATTTCAAAGTATTAAAAATCTTCACCGTTCTAATTTTCAGCCAGTTTCCTTTGTAATGCACTGAAGGTGTCCATTACCCTGTAAAGTGAATAGTAAGAATAGTGTCCATTGTTCTAATGTGATCTGTTTAATAGTGTGATTCCCCACCAGATATTAGCCCTCATTAAAGGGAACCTTGAAATCTTAAGGAGAATAATGAAAAACAATTCCATATGGTATTTTAATTTGTATTAGTAATAGAATTTTGAAAGCATTAAAGCATCGAAGGGAGACAGCCTTGCATTCCAACCCAGACCCTACCACTTTCTAGCTTTGTCAAATTATTTGTTCTTTCTTAGCCTTCTTTTACCTACATGTAAAATCGAGAACATCAAGTACCTGATTAAAGTAATGAATACAAATGATAGGCTGTTCAAAGAAGGTGAGCAAATGTTCATTTTCTAATTTTCCATGAGTAGGGTTAGTTGTTCTGTGGAAAGCTTTTATATAAAGTTTTTTGAACCAGACTGACTCCCTTCTGGCCTAATGCAGAGAGAGGTGTGTGTGGGACAGTGAGTGTGCTGTATCACAGGTTTACAACCGGTCTAAATTTGTTTTCTGCCACTTCCAACATGGCCACATATTGTTCTGCTTGATTATTTCACTTGGCAAAAAGACACTGTGGGCTCGTTTGCATATCCTCAGTGTAATCAGAAGGAGCCAAGTTTGACTGTGTTTAAAGATCTGGCTTCTTGAAGTTTGTTCTCCTGCAGACCCACAGGGGGATTTGTCCCAGACCTCCCATTTACAATCAAAGGCGTTCCGTGAATAATCTGATACAGAATGAGTACAGAATAGAACTCCTTTGTTTGCTAGACAGGTGAGATCCCTACTTTCTCTTGTTGCTAAAAATCTGGGCCAGAAAAATGACTAGCATTACACGAGTACTAAATTAACCTCATTCCTTTTGTAACCATTACCCTTATAATGATTTCACTGAAAATCCAAGAATAACAAGAGGGATCCCCCCCCCCACACACACACACACACACACCGGGGTACTGAGAAATTTGAAAGTGTTTTTATAATGTTAATAGTCATAGCATCCAACAACTGTGTGGCAGTTTTCAGTTTTCTGCAGTTTTTTCATGAACATCATCTCTCACATGAAGCAAATAAGATTGGTAGAGCAAATTATCATTTCCCTTGAATAAATGAGGAGGTGAAGGTCAGAAAGTTTCTTTCCTGCTTAAGGTTATTTTGAGTTTCCAGCCCAAAGTTTTTATCTCTGAATCCTTTTCTACTCTAAGGGTAAGGGATAAACATCGACTGATTTAGTTTTAACAGGTACTAGAGTAATACTTTCCGTGTTACTTCATTTACTGTTCACAACAATTCTGTGAAATAGGTATTACTGGTCTCATTTTATAGATGAGTTCACGCAGAGAGGCTAAGTGCCTAATGAAAGTTACATAGATGATGACAAAGTCGGTCTTCAAAGGTTTCTGAATCTAAGACATACACTTCATTTATTCTGCCACACTGTCTCTAAAGTGTCTATAGATAGACAGATCTTAGATAGATAATCTATTCTAGATCTATTATATTCCTGTTATAGAAGATCCATCTGCTATGCCCTGTGGTAAACACTTTTCCATGTGATTTCTTTTTTTATGTTTATTTATTTTTGAGAGAGAGACAAGAGAGAGAGAGAGCAAGCAGGGGAGGGGAAGAGAGAGGGCGGCAGAGGATCTGAAGCAGGCTCTGCACCGACAGCAGAGAGCCCAAAACAGGGCTCGAATTCACAAACTGTGAGATCATGACCTGAGCGGAAGTCAGATGCTCAACTGACTGATCCACCCAGATGCCCCTCCATGTGATTTCTTTCTCTCTGTCCATCCACTCACAGACATGCAGACACAATTGTTACAAAAGCGACTGCGACTGAGTTCCAAAGACAAGAATGACTACAATGGTCTCCAGAGATGCCTGGCTTATACGTTTACCTGCCACTGTATATAAAGTGGGGAGTGCAAAGGCAGCACATCTAGCAAAGCTTCTGTGTCATTCCCCACCTTTCAGACCTCCTGCCTCCTTCCTACCTCTGTGAAACCAGAGAAATCCTACCATAAGAAAATGGGTGCCAAACAATAGCCATTGGCAAATTACTGGCAGTGCAGTGGACTTTCTAGAGTAGGAGGTATTACAGCAAGACCAACAGGGGAGGAGTCCTGGCTTTTGAGTTACTAGCCACATGTCCTGGGGCAAGTCACTTAACCACTCTGTCCCTCCGCTTCCTCACCTATAAAAATAGCCATAAGGATGGCACCTGCCTCATGGGATTGGTTGTGAGGATAAAATTAATGAGTTAATGAAAAGTACTTACAACAGTACCTGGCCCATAGCTAACATGATTTTTGTGCTAGAGGACACTCAGTAAATATTAAAGCTGTTATGTTTATTATTCTCGATAAGCATATTTTACTCCTCCCCAAATCCCTCTGAGGGTTAACCCACAGCACAGTCCCAACACCCAGGTTTTGGTGCCCCTCCCTAACTTCATGTATTGAGTCTGTTTGTGTAGGGAGAAGGCAATGTGATTTAGTTACTGCTATATCTCACTGAATAATAGGTTCCCAAGGCAGGTGCATGCAAGCAAGAATGATGTATAGTCTATTCTCTTTTATATGTACTAGGGAAGGCCACTGTTTAAAGAGACTTTCTGGGTTTCTCGACCACTCTAGTCATACTTCCCTTGCAGCATTTCTAACAACATATTGTAATTACCTTTTCTCTGTTTTCCTTACCCAACCATGAGCTCCTTAAAGGCAAAGGACATATCGTATTTAATTTTATATCCCCAGTACCTAGAATACTCCTTGGCAGTAGTAGCTTTTGTTTATTGACTTACTGAACAAGTGGGAAGATGAGTGAATGGATACATGGTTAATTCTATGTTAAGTAAATAATCATCTCTGAATTTTGTGTCAATCTGAATTTTCATACCTTGGATTTTTCTTAAAGCAAGATAGCCAATGAGGTTATTGGTGATCAGGGCATGCATTATGTAACCCCTCTAATTACTGCCCATAATTCTTGTGTTTGTTTTGTCAGTCAAATAATTTATTAACATATGCCCAAAGAATTTAAAGGTCAGACTCAAGTCCATTTTTAAGAAGTATGCTTCATGTCTTTCTATACATATTATATACTTTTCCTAGCAATGGCAGAGTAGATATATAAGATTTCAAAAATATACTTCACAGTGTTAGTACTCATAATTATTGGGTTCATATGAAATCATTTAAGAGGAATTCTTGGATTTCAAAAAAGCATCAGGTTATGCAGCGATGCTGTGCTTGAGGAAATTGTAGACACTTTCCAAAATAGATACTTCACTTTTGCAGATGAGTAGCAGTGAGGCCCAGACAGGACAATGATTTGCTCAAGGCCACACAGCTCATCAGAGACTGAGTCAGGTTCCCATGTTCTCAGGCCAGTGGCTTTGTGGACACTGGGACCAGGATTCTTAAGTGATGTTGATTCTGGAAGGCGCAGGAGTGGCCCTGTAAATCCAAACCAGCCAGGACAAGGGCATGATTTCTGGAACATCACATTGTGGTGGTTCTGGGCTAACAGCCAATTGTAGAAGAGCCCTGTGACCCACATCAATGCCCTTAGGTGTATCTAGTCCTTTCACATGACGTTTAACTTTTAACGTGTTAGAGAAATGAAGGTCTGCTGCTAAAGAGAGGCAAGATCAGAGGGAGACCCACACACATGCAAAGGCCTCATAATGTCCCTCTGCAATTTTTAAACACTTGAACTTTAAACTTTTAAACTTCAATAAATTATGTTGAAGGTTTGATAGAAACAAATTGTAATAAGCAATGGTTCCTTTTTTCTCCAGTGAATTTGTGTGTATAGAAGAATAGGAGGTCATTTTAAACTACGCAATGTAATATTATACATGTTATTTGAACCAGAATGACTTTTGCTCTTTTCTATTTCTGTACCCAGATTCGAAGGGCTCCAAGGAGAAGAATAAAATGGAGATCTTGTACATACTGGTGCCAAGTGTTGCTATTCCTCTGGCCATTGCTTTTCTCTTCTTTTTTATCTGCGTCTGCCGCAATAACCAGAAGTCATCGTCACCGCCAGTCCAGAGGCAACCGAAACATGTCAGAGGTCAAAATGTGGAGATGTCAATGCTGAACGCATATAAACCCAAGGTAAAATCAGCAGTACAGAGCTGCATATATTCTATAGGCTTCAGGTTAAAGCAAAACTTATCACCCTCCCCAGCTTAGAAATCAAATGATCTACGATCAGAGTTGACAAGCTATAGAGTTCATTTTCAGCATAACTATCTATCTCTAACTGTATCCAAGGCAGCCGGAGCATTCTTTCGTCAGTGTGTGCACGTCAGTGTTGGGCCAGCCATGTGGCTGCCTTACCATCAAGTCTGGGCTAGAAAGAATCCTTAGGACATCATCTCTCCTAAGGATTCAGAATGTGAGCTATTTTTCAAAATTTCCAAGAAGGAAATACCATACTCTTCCAATGAACCTGAAAGAGATGAACAGAGGAAAAAAAAAAGCAAACAAACATGGTTTACTAACTTCACTATCAAAAAATCCTTTTATTGCACAGTAGTGTACGTAGACTATACACTTAAAAACGGTTAAGTTTTATGTGATGTGTCTTTTGCCACAACAACAAAACCTAAATCCTAACCCAGGAGTTAAGTTCGGTTAAATGCCTGACCTAAATCTGTTCCTCTTTGGTTTAAGTATATTTAAAGAGAAGTGTTGTCCTTCCTATAATCTTTGAATACTGTTTGATGATAGCCTACCTTAGCCTTCTCGTCTCTGTGATAAATCAATCCACTTCCTTTGTTTTTCCTCCTCATCTTTCAGCATGTGGGCTGCTCTAGGTCCTGGCAAGGAAGCCAGGGTCACCAGCCCTTACCTTAAATGGAGCGCACACACCACATCTTAAAGCTGAAACACAACAGAGGCTTTCTCTCCAGAAAGCCAGAACCTCAATCCCAGCCCTCTCACCAAAAAGATTTCATTTAAATAACTTAGAAAACTTCCAAAAAGCCCGTCTTTTCTTCTTATCCCAACTCCATAGGACATTCATTCACTCATTCTACAAATATTTGTCTTCTCTGTGGGTTAGTGGCCATATTATTCATTTGGCTTTCATAAAGAGAAGATGCATCACTTTAATAAAATTTTAGGGAAAAAAATGTCTTCATGCTCAAATTAACTAATTCTTTTAACTTGTAAGTAGATGTAGCTGCATATTGGGACTGACACATAGCCCTCATCTGATTGTAGTCTGCTGTGCAGTGGATTTTTTTAATTTAAAAAGTCTTAAAATGTTTTTTTTTCTATTGTAGTCCTATTTGTAGTCCTATAGAAACCTTGTTTCCTAAAGTTTTTGGATTTCTTAAATTTTAAAAATTCATTTTTAAGTATTCTGTCCCAAGCAAAACCACAGTTCTCTTAAGTGGGAATTTTTACCATTAAAAAAAAAAAATGAAGAAAACATGAAGACCACAGGGTTTACTAAGTGGCTTGGGGGACAGGTAAAGGTGGAGGTTCAACTGTTTGTGACACCCTAGCTGCCAGCTAGTCAGCTTATATACATTACAGCATGTGATATAATGTCATATTTAATCCTTACATGATACTAGAAGAAAATAGAGGGGTAAGATTGATTGCATATTCGTGAAGAAATGCCTAGTTGACATTTTACATTTCCCATACTTCAAAGTTCCAGTGCAGTAGTCTTTATTCTGTAAGAGTCTTAGCCCATCATTTCTTTTTTTTTTCTTTTTTAGTGTTTATTTATTTTTGAGAGAGCGCAAGTTGGGGAGGGGCAGAAAGAGAAGGGGACAGAGGATCTGAAGCAGGCTCTGCGCTGGCAGCAGAGAACCTGGTGTGGGGCTTGAACTCTAGAACTGCAAGATCATGACCTGAGCTGAAGTCAGACACTCAACCGACTGAGCCACCCAGGCACCCCTCCCTGTCATTTCTGTTATTAAATGTTGAGAAACCTTAGAAATGCCAGAACTCTGGATGAGAGAGAGAGACCCGGATGGGGTTGGTCCCTGTGCAAAAGCCACCATCCTGGAGGGGCAGCCTCCTCATTGCTATGGCAGGAACCATGGGAAGAGTCATTTCCATTTGGGAAAATTGTCAGTTTTGTAGGCCAGCCTCAATCTGCAACTCAGTTCCATTTTTAGCGAGGTTTGTTTTGCAAAGCATGACATCCAATAGGCATGATGGTTTGGATTTATGCAGTCTTTCAGATAAAGGTCTCAGAGAGCTTTCTGGTGTAAGTGGAGAAAGCTAATGTGGGTCGACTGATACAAATTGATACAAATCAAGAACTATACCAGGAACTTTCATAGTCATCATCTTATTTAATCCTCACAATGATTCTGTAAAATAGGAGTTATTATTCATACTGTACAACCAGAGTAAGTGAGATTCATACAGATTAAGTAACTTGTCCAAAATCAAAGAGCTAGAAATTGGAAGAGATGAAATGTGAACATAGGATTTTTCATGACTAAATAAAGTCCTTGCTCTTGCCTGACCCCATAATAACTTTTTCACGGAACAAATCATGCTGGGAAGGGAGAGTGGGAGGGGGTCAGGCAAACAACTAAATACGATTCCATTTGGTCAGTTTGGGCTGAACACTAACCACAGGCATCACCCTGGCTTGTGATAAATCCTTAAGAGGCTTGTGTAACAGCCTCACGTCTGAATGATATAGCTCCAATCCTGCCAAAGGCATGTGAAATTTGGCCAGAGCAGTAATAGGCCTCTACCCTTTGTGGTTGTAGAGACAAATGTGAAATATACTGGGCCCGATTTTCCCAAAGACTTGGTGAAGTAAACATTGTTTTCACCATTTCTGAAGTGTCCCTTGCAAAATCTGCCAGTGCCAAGATTTCTCCAACCCAGGGCTTAAAATTCAGCCTTAAACGTCCCTCAAGTAATTCTGAACCACACTGGATGTAGGAATGGCTCAAGAATATTTGACTGGGTTGAGGAGGGGGAAAGGAGACAACAAAAACAAATGCTAGCTCTCTTTGTCTTACTCTCTTAAGAGATTTGGCTCCAATCAAATTTGAATTATTCTGTTGTTTGTTTTGGTTCTTACTGAGTGCCTTTCCTGGAAAAAGCACAAAGGACTTTGTAGACCTTAAAGAAAATTCCTAACTGTAAACAGTCAATCTCTAAAAGTGCTTTGAAAGGTCACTGACACATAAATAATACATGTACCTATAAAATCTAGAAGGAAAGAACACATAATAAAAGAAAAGAAAAAAGGAAGGAAGGAAGGAAGGAAGGAAGGAAGGAAGGAAGGAAGGAAGAAAAAGAAAGAAAGAAGTCCTGAAAACAAACACCCTACCAGAGTAAAAACAAAAGGATATTTGGAGGCTGAGATGTAAAAGAATGAAGCATGGAAACTGGTCTGCCCAAGCCTTATTCTTATTTCTCCTCCGTCAGTTCAAAAGTCCAAGACTCCAGGGTTTTTATGGATCCAAATGAATATGGCCTTCGGGGTTTAAATGGTTTCCATCTTTCTCCACTTGCTGAGCTGCTAAACCCCTCCCCACCCACACACACACACTTTTGGATTAAGAAGAAGCTCCTCAGGGAGATTACAAACCCATACCCTCCAGAGGGGACAACAGCAGTCAAGGACAAACTGGTTGACAGACCTGGCTTGAGTCTCTAGAGAGGCAGGTGAAGCAATTGGAAGTTAGACCCCAAGGAGGTTTGAGTTTCTTTCTGACCTGTGGGGAAAGCAAGCCAGTGGACCAGAGAGGCACCTCCACTCTGAGTTGTGCGCAGTCAGAAGATGGGGACGCCCCTATGGCTCCACCTGCAGTTGCCCCATGGCCCTGAGAAGTTACTTGGCCTGAGTGTCACTTTTCTCAGCAGTTCTGAGAATGAAATAGACCCTGTTCATATAAGTTACTGTCAGTTTGTTTTCTTTTTATTTTGGTAAGCAGATTTCAAGCCGTGCAGTTGGATAAGATAACCTGTCTTTTCCATCTTTAAAATTCCCTGATGAGTATTCTAGTGATGCATGAACTAAGTAGGATTTTTCTACATTGAATTACAAATTTTACAATGCGAGTGGGTGTTTTTTTAAGGTACTGTGGAAAATGAACCTTCTCCAAGAAGCCTGGGAAACCCTAATTTCCCTTCTCCTGGATTCTTTTCCTTTGCCTCTCCCTCCAACTCCCCAACTGTCACGTGTCTGAAAAACAGGGCATTGTCAGTAAGGGGAAAAAGCTGTGGAGCAGTCTCCTTGGGGAGTGAGGAAGGTGGCCCAGCCTCCCACTCAAGCACAGTGGCAGGGATGGGGGGGGGTTCTGTCTGTGAGACATGTGACTCACCTACGTGGGACTCTGGTGCATAGATGGGTCGAGAGATGGAGGAGTTTGAGAATAGAGGATAAGGAACAGTGGGTCGGGCTTGGGGGCGGGGGGAGCCACAGCCAAGGCCTTGGGTCAGACTCCTGCAGCTGAATAGGCCTTGGTCAGACTCCTGAATAGGCCTTGGGTCAGACTCCTGCAGCTCCTGGCTGGCTGGTATCAGGAACACTTGGAGAAAGCAAGATTTGCCTAGCTTTCTGAAGTTGGTGGCTCTGTTTTCTCAGTTTACCCTCATCTCTTGCCAGCTTCTCTGTTTCTTCACTTCCAGGAAGTTCCTCTCTCCTTTTCCTTTCCAGCCAAAGTAGTTGCTAAATGTACTGACACTTGATTATATTCTCTAGGCCTGTCCCTTTTGCCAACAGCATACTTCCATCTAGAAAGCCCTACTATGGCCTGGCTACCCCTTTTGAGCCCCTGACCTTACCCAGTGTCACCACACTTGGTGCTAAAATGTCCTCGAAAACTTTTTCACTCAGTCCTTAAAGCTTTTGTCTCCCCGGACATCTGATCTCATCATTCTATTGACAGGGCCCTCTACGGAATCACCAGTGATGTAATTCAACCCAATGGCCTTTTCCAAGTCTTTATCCTCTTTAATTTCCCTGAAGCTTTGGACATTCTGAACCACCATCTTGAAATACTTTTTCTCTTGGCTTTCCTCCTATCCCCTCTGTTTCCTTCACTGGTTCCTCCAGTTCCTCTTTACTTCTCTCCCTCTTCCCCTTCCTCTCTCTCTCTCTCTCTCTCTCTCTCTATCTC